GCAACTTTGATCTCTACGTGACCTGTAAATGCTGCTGTTATTGGATATTTTTCTTATCTTTTATCCCACGGCTTATCCGTGCTAGAACTCGTTTTGTAATACGCTGTAAAAATATAATATTTGTTAAAGAAAAGTAATTATCTTTTATCCGGTTTACAGTTTGTGCTATTAGCCTTTCCGCCAAAGTTTATATATATACGATTTGTTTACTAGCACGTGTGTAAGGTATATAGCAGTTGCAGTATCAAAGGGAGTTACTTCACGGGTGCATTTGATCGTAATTGCTTACTGAATCAGCTGTTTCTCTCTCATGTCTCGTCTCTTAGACGAACAAGGCACACATAAACACACACACACAGACATACAGACATACACTATCTCTCTCTCTCTCTCACACACACACACACAAACACACACACACACACACACACACACACTCTCTCTCCTCTCTTTCACACACACACACACACTCTCTCTCTCTCTCTCTCTCTCTCACACACACACACCCACACACACACACACTCACACACACACGCAAACAAGAACAAGCATATCCACACAGTACTTTAGACAGAGATTCGGAATATACAGACACAATAATAGACAATTCTCCACAAAATAACCAAGACCTTGTATATCTACTCTAGAAACACCCCATATACATATACAAAAACTCAACGTACCGAAACCTAACATCAACTATTCTCTACCTCTAAAAACACCTCTAGATGAGTCATGCATTTCACAGCACAAGATCCAAGTACATTTAAGTCCTATAATAACTTCAACGGCAGATTGGACCTGAAACAAGGCAATTGGCATAATCTAATTGCACACACAGATACCAGTAATCCGAGTGTGTGGATTGGGCTATGGTAAATTGGATTAAAGTAAGGCATATTAGGGGAAGGTTGTCTTTGATAGATGTAATGGAAGACGGGGGGTGGGTGTTGATAGATAAGTTGATAGATAAGAGTATAAGTAGCTATTGGGCAGTTGGTCTGTTAGTGTGTAAGATTTTTTTTTTGGGGGGGGCGGGGGGGAGGGGTTCTTTCTCTCTTTCTTTTCTTTTCTTTATCTTATTTATCCTTGCCTCCCTTTTCTTATTTCACATTTCTTTGCTTGCCTTATTCGTACTTTCGTTATTTTTTTTTCTCATTTATTTCTTTATAATAATATTTTTTGCGCGTAATTTTGGTTTAGTTGACAACAGCAAATTTATTAATTGAGCAATAACAAAAGTAAAGGTAAATAAGGATGATATTGATGTTTATGAGGATGACGATATTGATACTAGTAATAATAACAAAAAGAAATAAAATATATAAAAGATAAGACATACAAGTACATCATAATATACATACATACACACGCAAACACAACACACACACCACACACACACCACACACACCACACACACACACACACACACACACACACACACACACGCACACATATATATACACCGACACATACACACACACACACGCACACACACACACATACATGTATATATATATAATATATATATATATATATATATATATAATATATTATATATATATATAATATATATAGATATAGATATACATATATATATATATATATATATATATATATATATATATATATGTATTATATATATTATATATATATATATATATATATATATATATATATATACATATATACATATATACATTATTTACACACACACACACCGTCCATTAAAAAGCCTACAGCATCATGCAAAACTGAATAAAACAAAGCAAAAATGATTGAAGCTTCGCTGTTGTTGCAACGGGTCGTATGAAAGAAGCCGAGGTCCAGCGACGTCGACCATGTTCCATCAATAGCGACCCATTCTGTATAGCGTCCGGCAAATTTCTGGCTGCGTTCCCTTGTTAGCGGACCAGTATTTTATTCATTTATTTTTATTTTTATTTTTTTTCAAGGTCTTTGCTCCTGTGCCGAAACATAAATGTAATTGTTGATGTATTTTTTTTTTTCTTTTTGTCATTCGTTATTTGGTTGTTGTAATTTCGTTTTTTCGTTTTTGAGCGAATGCAGGGGTTATTGTCGTGTGTATTTTTTTTTTCTTTTACGTTTTTTTCTTTTTCTTCTTCAGTCACTGAAATTTTTATATATATTTTTTATTCTTAGTTTTCTAGGTATTCATTGTGTTTTCAATCTATCGACCTATTTATCTATCTATCTATATATGTATATTTATAGTTATTCATTTATCTATCTTCTTATTTGCTTCTTCTTTCCTCTTCTAAGGACGTCGCTTTCGTGTAGTATATGCTTTCATTATTTTTTTTTTTTTACTATTTACTGCCTAAATGTTCATCATATATATTTTGCTTTGTATGACAATCCATCAACACAAAATTCCTATCAATTGTCCTAATACTTTCTTTCGTGTCCCGTCGCTCGTAAGCAATTCCAAAGATTCCATTCCCCGTGCATTAATTATAGCGAAAGATTAGCCTAATCCTCCCCTGTGTCTGGATGATTCAGAGCCGAATCCACAATCACTTCCGACTGGCTCTTTCTTCTATTCATTCCTAAATGAGAAAGTTTCATGATTTTTTAAGAATTATTTGTTATTGTCTCTTATGTCTTCTATTCTGCCAGTGATTTATAATGCTTAATGATTCTCGAGTCGGATGCAGAGAGAGCTTGATAAAAGGAGGGAGTGAGGTGGGGTAGAGAGCAGGGGAGGGGATAGGAGGAGGAGGTGTGGGTGCGTGGGAGGGGAGGTTGTGGGTTGAAGGGGTGGGGGGGGGGTAGGGGGGGAGGAAGGTTGTGGGGTTGAAGGGGGGGGGCTGGGTAGGGGGGGTGGGGATAGGCTTGGGGGGTTTTGTGTAAGGGATAAAGTGGGTTGGGTTGAGGGTGGTCTTATTGGGGTGTAGGTTGAAAGGTTGCCGTTACAACGAAGAAATTGGTCAACTGAAAAGGAACTTGGGGGGGGGTTAGTGAGTTATGGGGGGGGGGGTAAATCGAAGAGAGAGATCGGGCATTTATCCGAATAAGGTCATTGACTTCGAAAGGCTCTCTGATTCCTTACTTTTTCCATATTCAGTAGCTTTCCCGACCGCATTTGAATATGTTGATACCCTGCCTATAAAAGCTATAATCATTCATGTATTATCTTTCCTATGTGCCGTAGTGCGTGGTGTTCTATGTCTGCCTAACATTCAGAAAATCATTGACTACTGTAAAAAAAAAAAAAAAAAAAAAAAAAAAAAAATATATATATATATATAATATATATATATATATATATATATATATATATATATATATATATATATATATATATATATATTATATATAATAGATAGAAGCATGGGTAAGTATTTCCGGCTTTACAAATGGTATGTGTATGTTACTATACATTACTCATGATGCTTGCCAATTGTTATCCCTGTAGCATGCTAACAATGGTCATATGTGGTCAGTTTATGTACTATGCATCTACACATACAGACATAAAGCGTACACTTGTGAACCAACATGCACACACACACATACTTGTATATATGTACACAAATCACACACTCTCTCTCTCCCTCCCCCATCTATCTCTCTCTCTCTCCCTCCCCCCCTCTCTGTCTCTCTCTCTTTCTCTCTCCCCCTCTCTTGTCTCTCTCTCTCTCGTCCTTTCCCCCTTGTCTCTCTCTATTTCTCCCCTCCCCCAATCTCTCTCTCTCTCTCTTCCCCTCCCCCATCTCTCTCTCTCTCCCCTCCCCCCATCTCTCTCTCATATCTCTCCTTCTCTCTCTCCCCTCCCCCCATCTCTCTCCCTCTCTTCCCTCTCTCTCTCTCTCCCATCCCCCTCTTCCTCTCTCCCCCCACCCCCTTCCCCCTCACCCCTCCCCATCTAAACAAGCTCCTTTCTCCCCCCCTCGCAGTTTGCTCTTTGCTCAAGACCGGAGTGGCAGCGATCTTCGGTCCCCAGTCAGGCCAGACATCAGCTCACGTGCAGTCGATCTGTGACTCCCTGGAGATCCCTCACATCGAGAACAGATGGGACTTCCGGCTCACGAGGGACGCCTATTCGGTCAACCTGTACCCGCACCCGTCGACGCTGGCGAAGGTGGGGCGCGGGCGAGGGTTTTCGTTGTGTGTAGATGGATATGTGGATGTATTTAGAAGTGGAGTAGATACTATATATATATATATATATATATATATATATATATATATATATATATATATATATATATATTATATATATATATATATTATATATATGCGTGTGTGTGTGTGCATATTTGCATATATATGTATATATATATATATATATATATATATATATATATATATATATATATATATATATATATATATATATATAATATATATATATATATATATATGTATATATATATATATATATATATATATATATATATATATATTATATATATATATATATATGTAGACACACACACATACACACAAACACACACACACACACACGCATATATATATATATATATATATATATATATATATATATATATATATATATATATATACAACAACAATAATAATAATAATCTACACATTATACTTCCTATGCTAGTGATCATGGCTTGCAGATGAGACAACAAGAAAGTTAATATATAAACAAACTGAAACCTCGTCTCTCCATCGTCATATTTCATTTATTACAATCTATAATTTTTGCTAAACGCCAACTGAATATCAAATAATCCCATGGTGATGAAGCAGATAATTCCTTTTTTTCAGGATTAATTAAAGCTAATCAAATATTCATGGGTGTTTGCCATATTTACGCGACTATGAAATATGGGATTGTGAATTATCATTTGGTGTATCAGTAATGCTTTGAATCTTCGAAATGTCCTTTTTTTCTGTCTAATGATGCATCGAAATCCTGGTTCGTGCGTGTTGACATTATTGCACATGGACAGGCACAGACACACGGATAAACACACACGGACACACACACAGGCACACGGACACACACACAGGCACACGGACACACGGACACACACGGACACACACACAGGCACATGGACACACACACAGGCACACCACACACACACGGACACACACACAGGCACACGGACACACACACAGGCACACGGACACACACACAGGCACACGGACACACACACACACGGACACACACACAGGCACACGGACACACACAACAGGCACACGGACACACACACACACACAGGCACACACACACACCACACACCACACACACACACACACACACACAGACACACACGCACACACACATACACAGACACACACTCACACACACACATGCACGCACACACGGACACACACATGGACACACATACACACACGTGATTATAGGACGAAAGTAAAGTAAAATGTTGAAAGTAAAAAGAAGTGATAAAAATGTCAAAAAATTAGTTTCCCAAACAGATCTAATGAAGCATGGAACAGTCTTCTAAAAAAACGTTGTGTGTGCCAAAAAATGTGCATCAATTTAAAAAGTTATGCGATAATTTGAATATAGCAGACGGGACCATCTGAACTTAGCTCTTCTCGCGTGCTGAAACTAGTTTAAGAACACACACACACACACACACACACACACACACACACACACACACACACACACACACACACACACACACACACACACACACACACACACACAGATGCACCTTTCATCTGTATGTTTCCATATCCATGTATTCGTACCCGACATTGATGATGTGCTATTATGAATGTAACATCCATAGCGATCCTCCCTGCCCTCAAATCCTTCCCTTATCCTGTAAAATCCATCTCCATGCCGTAAATCCATTTCCCTGTCGTAAAATCCATTCTCTCGTGCCTTAATAGTCATCCCCTTGCTTTGATATCCATTTTCATAATATCCAACTCCATGTCATAAAATCCACCCCCACGCCATAAAATCCGTACCCCTATCTCATAAAATCCCTACCCCCACCTCATGAAATCCATACCCTCACTCCGTAAAATCCCTACCCCCACTCCATAAAATCCATACCCCCATCTAATAAAATCCATACCCCGTACCACCACCCGTCCCTACCCCATATAAAATCCTTATCCCCACTCCATGAAATCCATACTCCGTCCACCCCACCAATAAAATCCCCGTCCATACCCCCTTCCTATAAAATCCATACCCCATCCCTATAGACCCCGAATAATTCCCCTATAAAAATAATAAAAATACCAGAAAATCCCATTACCCCCATAAGATCCCCCCGCCCCCATTAAATCCATATCCCCACTCCATGAAATCCTTATCCCCAACCCAAAAAATCCCTATCCCTAATCCCTACTCCTCAAAATCCCTATCTTCCCCCCCATAAAATACCCACGTCCAGCCCCCCCATAAAATCCATACCCCCACCATAAAATAACCATCCATACCCCTTCCATAAAATCCATACCCCACCCATAAATCCACAAAATCCCTCCTTTAAAAAGAATTCCCTCCCACAGGACTGCAGGACTCTCCGTTCTTGACGTAGAGGAGTGTGTTACGCGAGCATGACCAAGCATACATTTCCCCAGCCTCACGTGTCCTGTGTCTCTCCTTTAGGCAGCAAATACACACTACACTCTGCTCTGTGTTGAGATCAATCATGCTTTCAGACGTGTGTTGGGAGAGAGAGAGAGAAGGGAGGAAGGAAGGAGGGGGATGGGAAGGATAGAAAGGGAAGGAGGAAAGAGGGAAAGGAGGCAGAGGAATGAAGGAATTAAGGAGGAGGGGATGAAAGAAGGAGAACAGGAGGGAGATGGGGAGGATGAAAAAGGAAGGAGGAAGAATAGAAAAGGAAGGAAGAAAGTGGGGTCGAAAGGAGGAAGGAAGAAGGTATAAGAGGAGGAGGAGAGAGGGTGATGGGGAAGAAGAATTAAGGGGAGGGAAAGAAGAGAATGAAAGAAAGAGGTGAGGCAGAGGAGGATGAAATTCTGGGACGGAGCAAAGGAAGGGGAAGGAAGGGAGCGGGGAAGAGGAGTAGGAAGGATGGGGAAGAGAAGGGTAAGATAGTGACATGGGAGAGGAAGAAGGGGATTGAGGAATGTGAAGAAAAAGAAGGAAGTAGGATAGAGGAGGAAGAAGCAGTAGGATGGGGAGGAGAAAGAGGAAAGAGGAAGAGAAGAGAGAGTAAGATAAAAAAAAGAGGAATAGAGAAAAAGAAGAAGAAGAGAAGATAGACGTGGAATAAGCAGAGACGAAAAGAAACAAGAAGATTAAGAATAAGCAAACAGAAGACGAATGGAGGAAGAGGAAAGGAGAGAAAGAGGAGGGAGAAATGAAGTAAAAGGTGTGAAGAGAAAACCGGATGGACTGGGTGATTGACAGATATTAGACAGATATTAAATGAAAGCGTTGGTAAGATAAGTGATGGACAAGCTGACATTTAGATTAATAGGGTAGAGACAGACAGAGATTAATATATGAACAGATGAAGGTAGAGAGGTAATAGAATTTTACACACA